GACACGGGTCGTTTTCGACCCGTGTCAAATGCGTCCCGGGACGAGCGTTCACACGGACGTTTTCTCGGTACGAAAACGACTCGGGTCGAAAACGACTCGAGTCGTTTTCGCACCCACTCCAGAGTGGGTGCGAAAACGACTCGAGTCCTGGTTCATTTTTGCCGTGTGATCGCGCGACTCGGGTTGGAATTAGTACGTCACAACACGAAAGTAAACAGAATAGTTGGAAGTCAGTCAGAAGAGTTTGATTGTTTAATTCGCATTGTTCGCTTGGACGCATTGTATTTTCTTTCTCAGCTCACAGCTCGCATAGCGTCGTGTGAACGCTCTCTTCAACGACGCTCCGTGTCGTTTTTGACACGGGTCGTTTTCGACCCGAGTTCCTTCGCTCCGTGTGAACGCGGCTATAATCGGTTGAGTGTTATTGATCGCAGCTACCACTGCCACCACTACCAGATATTGAAATATATTATATATTATATCATGATATCATTATATTATTAGCTCTAGAACTATAGCCTTTCGCTCTGCCACAGGCCTGTGGCAGAGTGAAGCGCTATACCTATAGCTAGTTCTAGAGCTGATAAATGATATCATATAATACAGTATTTTTTATAATACGCGTACAATATTCGAAAAGCCATGCACCAGTATTATGCTTGCTTATGTTTGGTGTAGGTTAGATTTACTGTCTCCCAGCTGTAAAGTAACCAAAAATAAAGGTGCCATGATCATGTTAAGTTAGCCCTGTTACTATATTAGGCTGCACATTCCAAGCTTATAGCATGTCATGTCACTAACTGCTAATGCTATGCGCATGCGTCTTTCGAAGTTTAGAGCATTCCTGGCTCTGGTCACATACGCATTACAATTTAGTGTAGGATAAATTAGTACAGTACACTACAAAAATGTAGTGTAGTGTATTAATTTAGTGTTTGATGCAGAATCCAATTTGCAGTCTGTATGAATTGCAGAAGTAGTTTGATTTCATTAGTCTAGAGTCATAGTAACACATTTTTACTGTTTGTGTTACCAGCATTCAGCAGAGAACCGACATCAATTATAATGAACAACTTGTGAACCTACAAGATGCAAGACAGTCTGGTTATGTGATTGATGCGAACGTGCTAAATATATAACAGTATGGGTTATTATTACCGGATGGTTACTTTGGCATTCGTCGTGCTAATTATGTTTGTGGTATCATCTAACTCGGCATTGAAGAAGAAATCCCTTCTTTACGATCTGAAGAAACTTGGTGAGCAAGCAAACAGTGTCATAAAAAGGGTTGGAGAGCAAGTTGAGGATGCAGTAAGCACAATCAGCAGAGGCATTGATAATGCTGTCTCTCATTTGGATGCGATTGGAGATTTCATTGAGTCTACAGAGAAGAAAACCTGTGAGGTGCAGTGTCAGGATGGTAGCAAACCTGTAGCTAATCCAACATACACACCGAAGCCTAATGGCTGTGGCTCTTTCGGTGTTCAAGTTAATTTCTTGAACTTCCCTGCATTTTCACATTGCTGCAATGGACATGATATTTGTTATGGCACATGTGGGAAAGAGAGAATCATATGTGATACCGAATTTGGCGATTGTTTGTATGACATCTGCCGCCAGCAAAGGATACAGACAGAACAACAAGATGATAAGATAACATGCGCAACTACAGCTGATTTGATGTATGGAGGCACATTGACACTTGGATGCAAGGCTTATGAAGATGCTCAGAGAGAAGCGTGTTTATGCAAAAGGACAGAACTATGAACTTTTACATTAAAACTGTTGTAGAAGTTGACCATTTATCTTGTCACAATTCTATGTAGTTGTCCCATAAAAAATATGCATGGCTAATTCTCTGCATAAGGTAATGAAGGTTGCTATTATATACTGTGCATTAATATAAGCATGAACAACACGATGTGGTATAACTAGTATGATATGCTTTAATTGAGATTATATAGCAATAAAGTATATTAGCAATAAAATTACAGGTCTACTATTTATAATCTCGGTTTGTATTCTTCTTATTGCTGTATGATATAGCAAATTAACACAGTGATTGCCAATTGCAAAGATGTCCATTGCGTGAAATGCCAGATACATTCTTAGCTGCACTTATCAATAAAACGTATTATAATAAAGCCGCACAATGCGCATCCAAACGCTAATTTCTCCAGTACTAGACTAGCAAATACTTCGTGTCATGCATAATCACACTACCTTAAATGAGAAAATAAACTCTAGTTGCTCCCATTTCACTGCACGTTTGCTTAAAACCCACAAGAAAGAGGTGAGAAAACTGGCATTCTGGCGCAAACGCCGACTGTTTACCAAACAATTTAGCCTCGAAGTGGTGAGGTGACGTCCCATGTTTTTATCTTTGCTACACCCGTACCGCTGTACCGCAGCACCGCTGCACGATTGCTTGGGGAAACTGTCAACAACATCGGAGAATTTGAACAACATTGGAGGTATTTCCAAATACCTTTTATAAGACAACGTGCAGTGAAATGGGAGGAACTAGAGTTTATTTTGTCATAAGGTAGTGTGATTATGCATGACACGAAGTATTTGCTAGTCTAGTACTGGAGAAATTAGCGTTTGGATGCGCATTGTGCGGCTTTAAAGGGACAGTAGCCTCTAGGATTTTACTGCATACAACTGTACTTACTGTATAACAAATCGTCTATACCCACACGTATTTGTTACCAGATACCTAATTTAATTGTTATAATTATTTACACATCAACGCTACAAAATTTGAATGGCGCCATGACACCCGCGACCGTGCTGCCACCCCGAAAAAGTTGCGTATTTGACAATTTATTTTGCAGGTTACAGACCGAGGGCTAATCACAAAAGTGCAATTATATTTATACCTAAATGCTATTTAACCGAACGATATTCATTTTAGGGCAAATTTATCTATATTATAACTGAAGCTATATGTCGTAATAAGATATTACAATCCTTTTGCTTATAAATGAATAAATAAGAACCACCCTCGGTCTGTAGCCCTTGGTTGGAAAGTGGTTTTGCGCAACTTATCAGATCGTGCGCTTTGAGTGGCGCCACCGTCGTTGTAATCAAACTGTAGTCGTTAGTTTTAAAACATTTTTTATTAATATTTCTAATGGTGATTGAACCATGAAACTTTTTATGTAGCGTAATTATAACCTAAATTTGCTGAAAATAACCCTAGAACCTAGAGTAAACTCTCCCTATATTAATTACTTCAATTGAAGATCGCACAGCTGCAAAATGCATGCATTTACCATTACATTTCATTTTTAGGTTGAGGTAAAGATTGTTGCAACTGAAAAGTCGCTGCACTTTTTTGATTTAGAAGCACTAAGAAAATCACCAGTGGGTGTGTTTACAGATCAGGATGAGTGGAAGGTACCTACTTAGCTATAAGGGCAGCATATAAATTCATTGACTATACTATGCTATACTATAGTACTATATACTATTTAAAATATCCATGATTGGCCTCAAAGTTTCAGTATTAAATGCAGAAAATAAATTTGAGATACTTTTTTGTCATTCATGAGAATGCCAATAATTTTGTTGTAGTGGAGCAACCGTGAAGATCCTGTACTGCACATTGAGCTGAGAAAATGGGCAGATGTAATGGTAATTGCTCCTCTAGATGCCAACACGTTAGGCAAGATGGTCAATGGACTCTGTGATAACCTGCTGGTAAGCATAATGTTGTGTAGCCCGATGAGGCTGTGCGACTGATTGTCTATACAGTCTATGCAGGGTCTCTACCCCTAGCAAGACCGTTTCGTGGAGCTAAATGTTGTGTAGCTCTATAATATCAGTTATTAAGAATATACTGAAATTTTGTATTGCTACTAGCAGTATGTAAATTATAGACTTTCTTCAGATAAATAGGTGATTCGTCTTTACAGACTTGCATCATACGAGCATGGGACTTCAATAAGCCGCTAATATTTTGTCCTGCTATGAACACATTCATGTGGGAACATCCCATCACGAAATTCCAGATAGACAAACTCACAAACTGGGGATTTGTAGAGGTGCCATGTATAGAGAAAACACTGGTTTGTGGAGACAAAGGTACAGTGCAGTTCTGAACCTAAATACATATCCTAATAATTATTAAATATCAAAACCCAAGTTATATGTGTGTATTTCAGACATTAGTCGTTCCCTAAAAACACAAACTTTTGATTTTTAGCTCACCTTGACATCGTCAAGCTGAGCTATTGCCATGGGTCGTCGTCCGTTGTACGTCTGTCCGTCCGTCCGTCAACATTTGGTTTCGGTCAACGATAACTCAGGAACCGTTTGACCCACATGTTTGAAATTGGGTGTAGTTGTTACTGCTATGCTCCCATATGGAACGTCCTATTTTGGAGCACGCCAGTCGGCGTACTTTCGAGCCACGGCGATTTTTTGGAAAAAATGGAAATTGCCATTAGTCAGTTCAGGTTCAACGGAATTTTATTATTTTTGGTATGTGAATGAATAAGAGCTAGGGGTTTTGATATTTAAAAAAAAAAATTATGCAAATTAGGTAGGGTTTGGCAATTATATAGCATATTATATAAACACAAACAGTCTGTGGTGTCATACTCGTCTGGTTCGTTTTACAAGATTTAATTGACAATATCTTTAATGCAAAATTGGTATTTCCCCTTCCACTCTGCCGATAAAACGTCTATATTAGAGTAAAGTTTTAGAAAACATGTCGGAACACAGCATAAGCTATTTATTTCGAGCGCCATTGCTACAAAGCGGGTGTAGCGCCATCTACCGTCACAAATTGTCATTCATTTTGGTTTATAAATTATTATTTCTATAATGTATGTCGATGGTTGCTCAATTAAAACTGACTTCTTCTTACTCATTCATTTGTGTTCTTTTTTGTGGTGAGCTACAGTGTCATTGACACTTTCATTCAATATTACAATGCAACTCATGCAACCATAGTACTAAGCATTATTGGCAGATATTTTGCAGTCTGAGCTATAACATTCGTGACGTTGCCTGGTTCTGGCTCGCAAAAATGGGCAAATAATTAGTGTAATATTTAGTCCGAAATTTAAAAACCAAAACGCAAAAATTTAAATGTATATAATGAAGAAAAGCCTGAAGTTGGAATTGAGACACAAATATTGGGGAAATTTGTTTGGGAGTTGCTGTAGATAGTAGCTTTGAAATTGACAGATTTTCATAAATTAGGATTGGCACACCTTTAGTAGTATATTAGACATATTTGTACTTGTGTATTACAGGGAATAATTTTCCCGGTATCGCATCGCAATTCGCGATGTATTTTCAGCCATTTGCTACGCATATTTTTTTATGAATCGCAGTTGTGCGATGCAGCCCATGCGAGATGTAAACGGAAACATACATGTTTACAATTTACTTTTATTCTCGGGCTGCTTTGCCGCGTCAATGAAATGCCACGTTACGCCGATTTTATTGATTTGTTAACCCGTACCACGGCCAACGTGACTTTTAAACAATCCTGCACTCCCCCCCCCGTACATCAATCAATATGCCGCCCCAGGCACGTATACACAGCCACGCTGTGCTGGCGCTGCGCGCTCTCGCGGGCTGCTTTCTTCGGCGACCTTTGATAATATAAAGTGAGGATGTCGTGGTCGAGGAGTCAGATAGCCACCCTTCACAATCGCTAGAACTGTATTTCATCAATGTTTGGATATATAACGTAAGGAACCAACATTTGATTAAAGTTCTAGACAATTATCTTTACTCGCCAACATGGGCGAGTCAGCTTTAGCTTTCACTCGCCCGGCCCGATATTATTTTCACTCGACATTGGCGAGCGGACGAGTGCCAAGCTCGCACGCTGTTTAAACGCTGCCGGGCAGCGTGCAGAATCGCTAGTGTGTCCTAGGCTTAAGCTAGCGGTGCCTGTCACAGGCAGACACGATAACACGCCAAGCATGCACTGCGGTGTAAATTTGCACTGTGATTGTCTGAAAAAAAATGCTATGCTAATTTATCCAATTGCTATGCAAAATTTATTTTGTATAGCACATTTGCTATGCACATTTTTGGCTGGAAATTGTTCCCTGTATTAAATAGAGCTGAATATTTATTTGGCACTGATGTCTTAAATTGACTACGTCACGAATTTTCAATGGTGTATATTTGGAAATTTTCGTTGCCATTTTTTACATTAAAAGTAAGTACTAATGGCACTAAATGTATCCTCAAATTCTTACCTGATAAGATTGTTTCTCAACTAGTTCAAAATCCAAAACACCTGGACGATTTAATATTATGATCCTGACATTAATTGCTTTCTATGGGCTATGTATGAGTCACGAGTGTATGTTTACATCAAACAATATAGTAAAATAGGAAGTACAATGCAGCAATTTAACCATAAAAAGTGAACAGAATTATTTACATTTTGTGACTTTTACTATTTATGGTGACGTAATCACTTTAAGTTAACTTTATTTCAGCCTTGCATTTATGAGTAGGCCTATCTTAGTTGTATCCCTCGTGGCGAAGTCGGCGGGGATACTATGGTTTCATGTCTCCCCAGCCGCCGCCGCCACCGCTCGGTCCGCCGCAGAGAATTTCCCTTCCGCACTATAACTCGACCCCTAATTGACCTAGCGTGACCAAACTTGGTATACTTACACAGTCTGCACGAAAAACTTCCACCCTCATTGGCAGGGCTGCCAGCATTGGGTGATAGGGGAGAGTGATATGTGAGGGAGCGAAGCGAACGAGCGGGGGGTGGGTGTAGGAGGGGAGTTTCCTACCTCCCATGGTAGGGAGCTTTTGCATTTTATAACTTCAATTTGTGCAATTTGGTGCATACTGAAGTGACTGTTTTCAGATATTGTAAGATTTTTTTTTGCTGTGCGTGAGATATTTCAGCGTTTTATTCATGAAGAGATATTCATGCGTGTGATATGTCTCAGCATTTTTTTGCCGTGCGTGAGATATTGTGAGATGAGCGTGAGAGCATGAGCTTTGGTCAAAATGCGTGAGTCTCACGGTCAATGCGTGAGAGTTGGCAGCCCTGCATTGGCCCAGCGGGCCTGTAGAAATGTATAATTCACTGGCCCATACTAGGTTTTACAGGCCCGAATCAATGATCATCATCATTAAAGAAAAAGAAGAGGGAATAGAAAGCGGGCCTTTTATGAAAAAAGAAACCAAACCGGACCGGAAACCGGAAGTTGTTGCGACTTCTAGCGGCGACAAACACTCATGGTGTCGACTAGTTACTTCCCCTACTTAAGATCGGGAATATGATGCCTTATCGGTAAATATCGGTAAATTTCCATATAAAATATCGAGAATTTTGGTAAATTCTCGGACTGATCATCACATAAAGAAGCTGAAATATCTATAGTCATCTATAGTCGCCCTCTATAGTCAGACTTAGCTGAAACGCTGAAATTTGGCCAATTAATATACCATTTACTCCATTTTTCCCCACTGGCCCATCGGGCTTGTTCATTTACCAGTTTGATTGGCCCCACGGAAAATTTACTGGCCTCGGATACCGGGCCAGTGGTTAATTTCGCAGACTGCTTGCACATCTTGGGGGAGAAGGTGTGCATAGTACCAAAACCAGGTCACTGCGCCCTTTATTTGACCTTGACCTTGACCTTGATCATATTTCCCTTCCGCTCTCTAACTCGGCCCCTAATTAACCTAGCGCTACCAAACTTTGTTTACTTACACATCTTGGGGAGAAGGTGAGCAGCGTACTAAAACCAGGTCATTGCGACCTTTATTTGATCTTTACCTTGACCTTGATCATATTTCTCTTCCGCTCTCTAACTCGGCCCCTAATTGACCTAGCGCTACCAAACTTGGTATACTTACACATCTTAGGGAGAAGGTGTGTCGCGTACCAAAACCAGGTCACTACGACCTTTATTTGACCTTTACTTTGACGTTGATCATATTTTCCTTCTGCTTAACTCGGCCCCTAATTGACCTAGCGCTACCAAAACCAGGTCACTACGACCTTTATTTGACCTTTACCTTGACATGATCATATTTCTCTTCCGCTCTATAACTCGGTCCCTAATTGACCTAGCGCTACCAAACTTGGTATACTTACACATCTTGGGGAGAAGGTGTGTCGCGTACCAAAACCAGGTCACTACGACCTTTATTTGACCTTTACCTTGACCTTGATCATATTTACCTTCTGCTCTATAACTCGGCCCCTAATTGACCTAGCGCGATCAAACTTGGTATACTTACACATCTTGGGGAGAAGGTGTGTTGCGTACCGAAACCAGGTCACTGCAATCTTTATTTGACATTGACCTTGACCTTGACCTTCATCATATTTCCCTTCTGCTTTATAACTCGGCCCCTAATTGACCTAGCGCGACCAAACTTCGTATACTTACACATCTTGGGGAGAACACGGGGGATACATGTAGTTGGCGACAACTGCCCTTTCTAGTTTACTATAACCATTCCTTTTTTTTAAACGGTTATTCCCTATTATTATATGAACCAGTTGTGTACCTACTGCTTCCATATAAATTATGAATCCTTATAGCTGTGACAATAATGTTAAAATTTGTAGATTGCACAATATCCAAGCAATTAGTTGATTAGCTAGATATTTATTTTAATGTATACACATATTTTCATAGGTCTCGGGGCGATGGCAGAAGTCAATGTGATAGCTGAAAAGATTCAAAAGAACATGTATTTATGAGAGAACATGTCCCGGAGATGCTGAGGGTTTATAGAACATTTATCGAGAGTAACCAGTTATATTACGCTGCATAAAAATCTGCTAATTAACTACCCACAAGGCCTATAAATATTTACTGTTCTAAGTGTAACAAGTATGCTTTCACTTTAAGGCATGTGCATGTTTTAGTCGATGGCTTACCATGAGCAGGCATGTTCCCATTAACACGGCGGAGGCGCAAGTCGCTCAGTTCGTGATATCCGTGAGATGTAAGTTATTTGAACACTTTTCGCATGCTGTTGGTGCTCAATGCCTCCGAGCTTTAGTAAAAAGTATTAAGAATACTGATATTAAGGACAGCACCTTCACCAGAGAGAATCGGTCAGAGAGCCGTGCCCGCACATAAGATCAGTAAGATTAACATACTGGTACGTTATTATTGCGATGCATAAGGATATTGTACGATGTTGTTGCGACGCGCGGGATTGTAATATGATATTGTTGTGACGCGCGAGATGGTAATATGTTATTTTTGCGATGCGCGAGATTGTGAGATGTTAGTTTTGAGGCGCGTAGGATTGGTGTAAGCTAGCAGTGCGGCGTGGAGAATCGCCGTACAGTATTGTCACGCGGTATACGAGGTTTGGCGTGCCGGCACTTTATGTACAATAGATCAGCTATTAGGTTATTGTCATTAATTTAGGATATTAAAAGAAATCGTGTAAAATACCTATAATCGTTCGTGTATTTCTGTTGCGTCATTCACACGGCGGTCATCGCTGTTTTTACGCACGTATCAATTATATATATATATATATATTATGCGTGTCTGTCTGTGTGTATGTTAATAAACTTGTATTTGAAATTGTATTATGAGGTAGTTCCACTGATTAAAACATGTTATTAGATCATCGCCAGATCAAGGCAGTTAGGTAAGTTTTTAAATGAAATAAAAATGTTGCTGCTTTTATAACATGAGATTGGACAATTAATTATTGCCATCATTTTGAGAACACAGCATTGGCTAATTAAAGATTGTGTTAAATTGTGAATTCACTGATATTGTATATTGTATGTGTCCATATTTTAAACCCAAGTTTTAATATATATTTTGTCATAGCATTGAAACGTAATTTTAAGCAGCAGTAATCTCGTAAACGAAGCAGAATTAGGCTTAAACTCGTGTTTCATGATGCTGGAAAGTTATCTGCAAACCAGTGACACTGCTATGCAAGATACTCAGATCGATGGCAGCACTATATAATGTCACGCAGAATATATGTATCACTTAACAGGAACGAACCCTGGATTTTTTTTAATGTGGCAGGTTTGGACTGCGAGCAACGCGATTGTGAAGCCAGTTTTTAATTAAACCTTGTGGATGTTATTTCCTATGTATCTGGCAACAGTTCGTTTTAAAAAAGCACGACTATTGAAAGCAAACACGCAACAAAACACGCGCACGCATGCGCGCTCACACTCGCGCGCGTGCCTGTGTGTAATTTTGAATGTTGAGTCTATCGTAGTAGCTCACACACGTTTTGTAAGATGCCGTCAAACCGATTTGCACCGATAAATATGAAAGCTTGTAGAAAAAGAATATATATATATATATATTATATATATATATATATATATATATATACATATATTATAAGTTGTTTGTATGGCGCATAACCACTTAGTCACCCATGTAGAGCAGCCGGTAGAACACTTATGCGATTATCATATCCTCATTTCGTTCTACCTGCGCATGTACGCAACCCTGCCCCCTCAACACACGTGCAAACAGTGAAACAGTACACTGTGGCGAAACTAACCCGAATTCGCACACGTCGCGTGCCAACACGAACGCAGTACAAACCTAAACAATGTTGTGTTATATTAATTTATAGTTATAATAATAATTATTACTATTATGATATTGTCAAATTAATAGATTATTATTTTATTATTATTATTTGTCCAGGCAATGACACTACACTGGCAGCTTTCCGTATGTATAAATCCAATGGATTCACGTAACGAAGTTAACTTTGTTGCAATTTCACAATCACAGATCGACACGATTTTTTGCAGAATCGTGCTCGGTCTTGCTGTTACGTACCATAGATATAGAATACAGATTATATGGCTGTTACTGAGCCATGGGCATGGCCCAGGATTAAGCTTCATATGAAGGTCATAGGTTTTAAATTTTCGTCTCGCACAGGTCCTTTTGGTGGATGCGTTCAGAAGCTAATCTGTTTGAAACAGTCATTTAGCAACCATGGGACGAATTATTGATTGAAAGAAAGTCGTCTGAAGAAGTTGATTATTCTTAATTTCACAATAAAAAATAGTAAAAAGTTCTTCTCTTGTTTTTAAAATGTCTTTAACGTTAATCCCGTTCTGTTCTTTCATTAGTTCACTCTTAGTATATATGTAGGACCGTTGGATACCCGAAAACTATTATTTCACACACCGCATAGGTAATCAACGAAAGGGACAGGGGACAGCTCTATCGGCCACCAACCACATACTTGGGGGGCCCTAAATAAATCAGCATTGTCAGAAGGCGGTCACCGACCGAGGCCACCCCAAACTTGTCGACCAGTTGTCATTAAGGGAGAACCTTAATGACAGGTGATGGCGACACGGCCGGGGTACAACGGCCTTTGACAAAGACCGCCGCAACGTGGCAAGGTCGAGAGAGACGCATAAAAAGGAGGGTTTGAGTGAGTTCGGGAGAGACACCGACGTATTGCTGACGGGTATGTGTACATCGCTTGATCTGTGCTTATAATAAATCTATATTAGTACTGTTTGCCGTTTACTCCACTCGTTGTATCTACTATCTACGAGCTACCGTCTACGAACATAGATTCCACGCTACAATTTGGCGCCGTTGACCAAAAGAATCTTTGTCTCCCTTTGCGACACAACGCAAAGTGCTACCACTGCGATCGATGTGGCCGGGAGAACTTCACTGTCATCACTCACTTGTCGGGTAAGTGGAACGTTATTTGTCGGTTTTACATTGTATCACATGTGCGGTGGTTACATCGTCTCTCACACCCTAGTCAACATTTACCATTTCCATTTACCATTTACCTTTGATCCGTTTTTCCACGACCACAATGACGGAAGCTACCATTGAAAGTGATTACGTCACCGTAAATAGTAAAGAATAAAAAAAATATTTCCACTTTTTTACAAAATATAAGTAATTCTGTTTACATTTTATGGTTAAATTGCTGCATTACACTTCCTATTTTACTATATTGTTCGATGTGAACATACACTCGTGACCCATACATAGCCCCTAACAAGCAATTAATGTTAGACAACAATAATTCAAATCGTCCAGGTTTTTTGGATTTTTAACTAGTTGAGAAACAATCTTATCAGGTAAGAATTTGACGATTTGTTTAGTGTCGTTAGTTCTTACTTTTAATGTAAAAAAATGGTAATTTTTTTTTTACAAATTTTACCATAGAAAATTCGTGACGTAATCCCTTGAATCTCTAACTCGGGTGTTTACGGAGGGTCTTAAACCTTCAATGGAAAGTGTAGCGGAACGATTTACGAGGGGTTTAAGGGTCGCGGAAGTTCGGCAGAGTATTACTAAGTTTATGGGGAATGAGGTTTTGTTGGGGCCCAAGTTCCAAGAGTGGTTTAACCAATTAACGTGGGCACATTTAGAGTTAAATTTAACAGAAACAGAATTCAGGAATTTAGCAATAAGCACCTTGGGGGGCGCAGCGTCGGAGTACACCCGCCGTTTATTAATAGACACGCCAGACATTACGTGGGACCGTCTGTACGAAGCCTTACAAACACGCTATAAGGACCCAATGTCTGAACTTTCGGCTCAAAACTCGTTAAAACAATTTCACCAGGAGAGAGGAGAGTCTATTCGCGATTATGCGGACCGTTTACGACAGATAGCACACCTAGCAATTCCACGAGACCAGTTACAACACGAAATAACGCAGAAACGTTTAACAGAGATTTTTTCAGACGGGTTAGGGAGTATAGCAATACAAAAAAGTTTGTTGAAGCGGGGCCCACGCACAATACAGGAAGCACTCGAGTTGGCAGACAGGGAAGCAGTAGTGGAGCAAGGAATCGCAATACGGTTGCGTAACAGGGAGGGGCAACGGTACAGGGATGATAACTATGGGGAACCTATGGAGGTAGATCTTGTTAGGAACCAGCAAACGGCTAGAGACATGCATCACAGTGTAGGTGAAATGAGGCACTTGGTAGCAAACATGCAAAACCTATGCACGACACAAGAGCAGAAACAACGAAACATGCCGACCAACACGCGGACACAAACACAAACACAGACACGATGCCACGAGCCGCAGAATATTAACACACCACGTAGACCGGCTAACGAATCGGACTATTACAGACGTCCGCCACCGGCTAGGCAGCCCTATCGTTACGACGGAAGACCGCCGAATCAGATAAGGTTGTGTTTCGTTGTGGCAGAGAGGGGCGTTTTGCTCGTGATTGTCGAGTGGTGTTGCCGTCGGGAAACGCGCCGCGCCTGCTAGACCGCAACAGGAGGTAAGGGGGGTCAGACACGGTCGCACACGCGTCGTGTCACGCCATGTTGCGATGTTCGGGTGGAGGGGCAAAAACTAATAGCTCTTGTTGATACAGGCGCCGAATGTTCGCTAATTCACGAGATGGCGTGGAGGGGGTTACCTAATCACGTAAGAGAAGCCGCCACGCTCGACAACGAGCAGTGTCCGCAATTACAGTCTGTCACGGGTGAACAGCTGCGGGTAACACGGGTCTCTAACTTACCGGTCACGCTGGGACGGGTAAAAACATCCCTCCGGTTCTGTGTGGTAGCAACATTGCCAAAAGATATCATTTTAGGGGTAGACTTCTTTGTTAGGAATCGGGTGGGTATCGATTTTTCAAACTCAGTGTTAGCCATAGGGAATAGTATAGTACCCATGTATGAAAAGGAAGGACAAGGGAGGTCAGTACCTACGATGAAAGTAGCCTACATGCAACGTTACAGACATCTCGCGCCAGGCCAAACGGCATGGTGCGAATGTCAGATTAATGGGGTATTGTCCGCCGGGACACGGGTCCAACTCCAAGCGCGGCCAAGAGAAGGTTATCAGCGGTTCACGGGATTACAGATACTGACAAAAACATGCCGCGTAAACACTAATGGCACGATTAGCTGTCTCCTTAGGAATACAACACGCAAACACATAAATCTGCATCATAAAACCACATTAACGGTAGCACACGTGCGCGGCGACGGCACACGACCCAGAAGGGAGGTAGCACAGGGTACTACGCGACGCATCACCGCCTCAGGCGTGACACGGGGGGCGGCTGTACAACAAAGCAACCACAAAACGGGTCTTTGCAGCAACGTGGGGCAGGCATAACAATTACCGGATAATGCACTCACCACACAAACAACAGTGGACTACGTACTCGTTAGTCGCCCATGTCACAAACAGACAACACAGGGAACAATTACGGGACTTTTTAACGCAACATAGAACATCCTTTGCACACACAGACGAGGAACTCGGGTTTACAGATCTATATGAAATGGCAATCGAAACAGGAACCGCGAAGCCATTTAAAACAGCTCCTTACAGAATGGCAATACCCCAACAGGAAGAGGTGGAGCGACAGGTCAGGCACTTACTCAAAATGGGACTAATTCGACCCTCCATCTCAGAGTGGAGCTCAGGGGTACTACTAGTTAAGAAGAAAAGTGGAGAATGTGTATGGATTATAGACGGTTGAATTCAGTCATTCGAGCCGACGCATTCCCTCTCCCCGTAATCGAAGACGTGATGCAAAACTTCGGGAAAGCGAAATTTTTCACCTGTCTAGATCTCCGAAGTGGTTATCACCAGATTCCTTTAGCAAAGAAACATCAGCATAAGTCCGCCTTTGTAACTACAAATGGACTCTGGGAATGGTGCGCCATGCCGTTTGGGGTCGCCAGTTATCCGGGACAGTTTCAGAGAGTCATGAATCGAGTACTAGAAGGGTTACAACATAAGTACGCGATCGC